AGATCGGAAGTGCACAACTTCAACACTAGGAGTAGGGACCGCCTACATATACCACTTTGTAGGACGGCTGCAGGTCAGGGCGCGTTTACCTTCAGAGGCCAAAGGCTGTGGAATAGTCTCCCAGACGAGTTTCAGTCTATCACTAATTTAGATGTATTTAAAGTTAAAATAAAACAGCATTTTTTAAGGGTATTTTTAGAAAACCAAGTTTTAGATATTTGACATTGTAAATTAAGCTGAAAAGCCTTTTTGAGGAGATTAATAAAGTTATTATTATTATTATTATTATTATTATTATTATTATTATTAAACAGACCCTTGACCAATTGCTTTTTTAGCGCTTTCGTTGTCGTCGCCGTCGTCGGTGATTAAGCTCCAACATTTAAGTCTGTAAACTGCATGCAGTAAAAATAACCTGACCATAGAGTTTGAATTGGAAAAATTAAATAATAATGCTTTTTTTTTCATCATATTTCTCCTTTCACAACTGCCAATTACCTGATTTCAAACGTTGTCTCTTAAAGGTCAGTGGACAAGAAAGACATTTAGCTCGGGTCCAAAAAGGCATTTCTTCATTGCAATCTTAAGCAACAAGAACGTTGACATCCCAGGCGTCGAAAATGGCCACCAGTCAGCAGTCTCGTTGCGTCTCTGCTGGTGAAGAGTATGGGTAATTACCATAAATTGCCGCTTACAAGCCCTGGGCTTGTACATCATCCTAAGGGGTTTTAGGAGAGTTAATAAACAGAGGGACTTATCTCCGAGGGGGCTTAAAACAGAAATAGAAAAAGCGCTTTACAACAAGCTATAGTAGTGCAGATCAAAATAAGTATTACATTGACTGACTTGTTAATTAAGCTTCAAATCATCATGATAAAGCGTTTTCACCTTAACACAGATGAAGGGAAGGGGTGGGGGGCTTATAATCAGATGTATTAAGACGGAATCCACCAAAAAAATGGGTAATAATATTTTAATTTTCAGTGGACAAAAACCTTGTACCAGAATAATTAAGAGCATATTGCATTATATTTTGCATTTTTCAGGGGCTTAATGTAATTAGTTATCTGTAAAAACACCAAAGAAAATTTCTTGTGGGAGGCCGAGAAAATGAATGTCAAATTTCAAAAAATTGCATCTTTCACATGAAATTTTCAGCAGTTTACCTATGTTTTCACAATTCTTGTGAAATTTGACCTTCATTTTCTCGGACTCCTATGACAAATTTTCTTTGGGCCTCAAAAAATGCAAAAAAGAATGCAATATTCTTTAAATTATTCTGGTGCAAGATTTTTGGCCACTGAGAATTAAAATTACTCAATTTCCTGGTGGATTCTGTCTTAATTTTCTTTGTTTTCAGGTAGAATGTGGGGCTATAATTGCAGAGGTGTTATTTTAAGTGGGGAGTTTATACACGTAAGCGGACGTTTTTAAAGGGTGTTTTCTGGAACAACATATCAAGAACAGGATAATGTGGACATCAAGATATTAAAATTAGATATTACCTAGTCATCCTGGAGGGAATTTGAGCTTCTGCCCTCCTAAAACGTGTAAATGGATGTGATAGACAGACTGACAGCCATGTTGACCATTATTGATTACCACACAATACCCTTCCTGGTCAATACCCTTCTGGGCGGCTACTTTCTTTGCAACAATCATACAGTGACCAAGAAGCTAAATAAAAACATAGTCATTCACAAAGCTGTTATTAAGGGCCATAACCCGCAACACCTTTTACAGCTGAGCTCACTTCATTTTATGGGTGATCAAAGTGGAAGCTAGGTGACACTACAAAGTTCTGGGAAGATGTTACAGGTGAATCTTCATTTGCTACGGCTGCTCTAAAAATTTATGACAGCCCTGATACATTTTCATTATAAAGATTTCTCTCTCAAAGCGACTGGGTGCAAAAAGGAGTTGAAAGTGAGAGAACAGGTTAACAGGATCCAGAACTCCGCATTTCTAGCTTGATCTGCTATTCCACTTTTCCTCGCGAAATCTCAAATCGTTGGGCAGAGTGCAGGTATCAGAGCTGTCTGCAAGGAGGTCTATTATGTCTATGAAACTCCCGGGTAGGGGAGGGGGAGGGGTTACTTGGGTTAATCTTTGCCGGGCATGTGCCGCTGGTATCTCAGAATCCCTACCCCATTACAGTTTATTCTGTGGCCATATTATAAACCCCATCTTAGTCATTTTGGGAAAAAAGTATTCTTGCAATCCCGACTTAGTCACTTTCTGTTTATGCAGCCACCTTATAAAGACTTTTAACTTAGTCACCCTGAAATGAACTGACACATTTATGACAACTTAATGTGGTGCAAATCTTTCTATTTTTAAATCCCTACATATCTGAATTTTCTGACACCCAAAGGCCTGAAAATGGGCAACTCCATTCTAGTAACTCTTAAAAAATGCAACCTCATAATAGTCAATCCAGTCATGAAAATGTGACCCCATCCAATGACACATACCCATTAGCCTACTTCTAGGAAGTAACCCCTCCCGGAGGAAGCTATAAAGAGGCCAGAGTAGGGGTAGGTTTTTAGTCAATAGTTCGATACCCTCACAGGGAAACCAAGCACCATTTGTCTGGTCTCATGGGTGTCAACTTTTTTTAAGGTTTGACTCTATACTAATGGGCTAATGGATTAAGGGTGCCCATGGCACCTTTTCCTAATTGGGATAACAACTCTCCGAGGATATTAAATAATTGATCCATCCAATAAATTGAGTTAGGACACAGTGTGAGCCAACGAGCCATGCGAAAGAAAAATAGAAAAAAATAGAAAAAGCAGTAATACAAAAAAAAAAACCAAAAGGTAACCGTAGTAAATGAGTGTTTAACGCCAAAGAGCACTTAACCCTAATCCGTAAAAAAAAATTTTTAACCCAAAACATCACTTAAACCTAATCCGTAAAGTAAAAAGTGAGTCTTTAAGCCTAGTCAGTGAAATGAGCACTTAACCCTTATCAGTAAAAGTCGATCAATACTGCGTAATTCTGCAAATATTCCATCAGCAAAACCTCAGGAACTAAGCAGGAAACATTTTTCATGAATTTACAATTGCCTAAAACTCTATTTTTCCCCAAAGTTCGTATGGCTCACTGGCTCGGAAATTGTCCAAAAATTTAACTTGCAGTACTGTAATAGCAATATCCTTAATTTTTAACAGTGCTGTCATATAAAAATCAAGGGTAGTTAAAAAGAAACAAAATGGTAAAGTTTAACATACTTGTTCATCCTCATCTGTAGCATCAGTTATCTTTCTTATTTCTTTCTTTGGTATAACCAGGAAATGAACTGGCGCTTGTGGATTAATGTCCTCAATGGCTATGCACTGAAAATAAAGCAATCAAATTGATTGTAAACAAAAGGTAACAATGTACCTAATCACTTGCTGCTATTTCTGTTTATAGTTTATCCAACTTTATGGTTGATAATGGATATAGTATGAGGATATATTAAATTTCCCTATTAAGAAAATATTGGAGTTGAGAGGGAGGGGCAGGAAGGAGAATGTGATATTTAAAACCTCTGTTAACTTACGATAAGGCTCTTTCTTTGAGAATAAAGGAAGAAAAAGAATGCCTGATTTATACAGGCCACCTTCCAGCCCCCCCCCATGCCCCCCACCCATTTAAATAAATTAATATGTGGTTGCCCTGTCCTCAAAACAATAAACGATGGCTATATTCGATTATCATTTCCTTTAAAAACCAACACAAGATTACTTATGTGATAGATAGATAGGTAACCTCCCTGTGCAACCATGTCTTAAGTAAACAACCACCGCCCATAAGCAACCACTTATCTATGGAACTCTTGTGAACGGCTGCCTCCATAAGTGACCACAAGCATTGCTTATATATTAGCATGAGGGTTTTAAGATTTTTCACTGTTTCAACCTCTCTTCTCAGCAACCACCTGATGTAATGTAGTCCTGTTTTTTTGCGTTTACCACATCTACTACATTACTCAGAGTAGATGAACTTTAAGAAAGAACATGGATTTACATATAATATTATTGTTACCTAAAAATGTTTCCACTACATTCTCTCCCAAACACAGATTCCAGATTTCTCCTCATAAAAGACCTCTGGCACTTCGACTCGCATAAGCGACCACCTCCGGTAAGCGACCACCAACTCTTTGCATTTTGGGTGGTCACTTAATTAATTCACAAAAATGAAAATACAAACTTAAGGTGATGTTACACAGGACGATTCACAAATTATGACGATTTTTAGCACAACACAAATCAGATCAGTCTATGTATCCATGTAACATCACCTTTAAACCTGGGGGAGTATGTTATTCTAAAGGAAAACAACATTCAATTGCAAGTATTAAAATCCTGTGAAACATGAAACAAAATCTAAGCCAATCAGAACAGAACTGTGCTAGATGTTTTGTTTCTGGAGCATTCAGAAATAACTCCAGATTCTGGGCCTTTTTACATGTGATCAGGTACTGGTGGGTGCACTAAAGGGGAGTTTGGGTAGAGACTGTGTGCCGCTAAGGTCTTCAAACCCTCACCCTGTTTAAGAGAAAAAATGGTATTTCTTACAGTGTAGTATAACGGAACAGACAGAAATACCTATTTTACAAGCACTGACCAGAGGACTGCTGAACTGGCAGGGAGAAATTGTGGGTAGTTTTTTGAGAGATGTTTAGTTGCACGTTGCAAATTTGAATTAGCCCAGGTTAGCATCCATTCGAGTTCCTAACTTTTATTTTATTTGCCAATACTGTTATATTTCTTTATAGGCACTTGGCAGCTAGTTTTTGCATACCTTTTCCCCCGAGTTGTTGGCCCCGTGGCTGATTTCAGCAGGCAGGGGTGTACGTTCCTTTTTCTCCACAAAGTGGTTTTGGGTTTTGTATCTGGCGGTGTCGTATTTAGTTTCTTTTGAGGTTTGTTTTTCATTATAGGGTGTTTTGTAATTAAGAGCAGTGTCGTAGTATTACGGTAATTTTGCAATAAACTGGCTTTAAGGTCCTTGCTGACCTACAGGCCCCTGTATTTATTCTTGCATGGGTGTCTATCTGGGTAGTGTAGGCAAAATAAGCTTATTTTGATACCCTTTTTAAGACAAAGACCTCATTTAATGACCCAGATTCATTTTGTTTTGTGCACTTGTCACTGGTAACAGCCCCCCGCCCCCTCCCCTGGGAGACGTGGGGCATACGTGGGGATTTGCAAGTGCTTAGATGACTTACCAGCCCCAAAATGGCGGGTTCTGAAGGTGAGTTAAACGACTTTCTTTGCCATATAAAAAGTGCGTTTGTGATGTCCTTCATAAAGAATCTCTCATACATAACATCACTTTTTTATTTGAATATTGAAATAAGCAGGCTTTTGTATGTGAGAAATTAATTTAATGTACTTTTATATTCAGATTATGTGACTATTAAATGCGGTGGAGAAAGTGAAATTGACATTGAACTCAAAAAAGATGGAAGTTTAGCTTTAAGCAGTTTAAAGGCCCTTTGTACGAATGCAACAGGATTGTGTTTCACCTCAGAAAATGGTAGAAGACAAAGTGTCAGAGTTGTAGATAACAAATGTTTTCCAGCTCAAGGAAAGTGGGGAGAAACACTTTAGGGTGTATGAAGTTGTGGTACCAGAACCAGATGTCAATGGACCTACTCCTGCTGGCAAGCTTATGCAAAAAAGTCGAAAATGTTAACCTATCTTTGAAAAATCCAAACCCTTAGTCGGAGCTTAAACTAAAGATGCTCCCCTTAAAGGTGGGGCTTTTTTTCCTTTTTTTCGTTCAGCTGTCTAATGCCCCACGTCTCCCCGGGGTGAGGGGTGGGGGTTTCCAGTGACAAGTGCATTACATGCAAAATTAAGCAATTTTTAAAATTTCAGTCAAGAGATTGTATCTTTTTGAAAACGTTGTTGGTACCACAAAATTAAAGAGCACTCATCTCGCCAACCTTAATACTCTTTTAAAGGCTTCCTGTCTAAAAAGATACCCTGTTCCTGACGATAAATAGAGTGGAATTGCATACCCTGTTTAAAACTCAGACCTTGAAAAATGATACCCTGTTCAGCGGCTCCTACCCATTTCATAGTATTTCTTTTCCATATTTTAACACTCACCCTATCCCATTCTCCACACACCAACACGTCACGTGGAGTTTGAATATGAACGAGTGCCATAGGGGAAGAGGATGAATACAAGATTACCTTGTTTTCACCAGCCATATCATACAAGTGCAGTGACTGCAGGCTGAATTTGTTGAATTTGTAGGTGTGCAACTATAGGTGCGAGTGTGGTCAGTGTAGAGACTGAGAGTTCGAGCTACACATCGTTCTTGGTTTACCTGATCATCGTCATGAAGAAACGTAACGGGAAGTTCACGGCGAATGATTCGTGAAAAAACCGACTTCCCTTTGGACGCCATATGAAATAAGAAAGCGACCTTTCCCCAGTCCTACGCGGATTAGCAGATTTTCGGTGTCAGTTACGTTTACGCTAAATTTGTACTGTCGTGACCAAGTTTTCCCTTTATTCTATTACCTCTACACAAAAATAAGTAGTGTTTTGCTTTTTTTAACCACAGGAATTGTTCGGGACTGTTTTTACCTGCTTATTTTTGGCGTTTGTGGTAAACGTGAATCTTAATCTCTATAGTGACTTGGTTAGACCCGAGTGAGTGGAACAAGGCTGGTTCGCTGAACTATTCGCTTATTATACAATGATGTGAATGCTACGCGCCCTGTGATTGGTCGTCGCCCATGATCTATTAGAGTACAGATACATGGATGGATCGCTGTTTTGCAAAATGTTTTCGCTATTATTCTTCTTTGAGCAAGAAAAGACGGTGAAAAACTTTTCGAAGAAACTGTACACAAGTAAGATAAAGAAGAAGCTAAGATAAAAAGTTGGGTTTGGGACTT